TATTATGAATCATAAGCCCGCGAGTAGACTAGTCTTAGAGGAGTTAAGGGGTGAAATCGATGGTTCCCCACCGAGTGCGCAAGTAGATACATCACATAATACTGCAACACGACACACTGAGAGTGTACCAGTGCAGACAGTGCCTCGTCGCAGTGGGAGGGTTTCTCATTTACCCGACCGATGGATAGGTCTTGGAGAGTCGTCAGACTCAGTTCCAGGAGGCCTAGAATCGGACCCAAGAACTTACGATGAGGCACTCCAAGATAAAGATGCAGATTCATGGAATGTTGCAATGAAAGCTGAAATGGGGTCAATGGACTCCAATCAGGTCTGGGATCTTGTAGAACTACCCGATGGGGTACGACCCATTGGATGTAAGTGGATCTATAAGAGAAAGAGAGGATTGGATGGGAAGGTGCAAACCTTTAAAGCTAGGCTTGTTGCGAAAGGTTATACCCAGATCGAGGGTATTGATTATGATGAGACCTTTTCGCCAGTAGCTATGCTTAAGTCCATTCGGATTCTCTTGGCTGTAGCCGCTCATATGGACTATGAGGTCTGGCAGATGGATGTCAAGACAACTTTCCTTAATGGGAACCTGCAGGAAGACATCTATATGCAGCAACCAGAGGGATTCATTGCTGAAGGTCGTGAGCATCTAGTGTGTAAGCTTAATCGGTCTATTTATGGACTGAAGCAAGCTTCGAGATCTTGGAACATCGGTTTTGATGAGGTGATCCAGTCGTACGGGTTCACTCAATGTCCGGATAAGCACTGTGTTTACAAGAAAATCAGTGGGAGCGTTGTGGTGTTTCTTGTGCTTTACGTAGATGACATACTGCTTATTGGAAACAGTAAGAATGAGTTATCAGACGTAAAGGTGTGGTTGTCTAAGCAGTTTGATATGAAGGACTTAGGTGAAGCAGGACACATTCTTGATATTAGGCTCATTAGAGATTGTAAGAAGAGAATGTTGTGCTTATCCCAGTCTTCATACATAGATACTGTCTTGGCCAGATTCAGCATGCAGGATTCCAAGAAAGGTATGTTACCTTTCAGTCATGGAATACCTCTATCTAAGGAGATGTCTCCTAAGACTTCTAAGGAGATAGAGGAGATGAAGACAGTTCCTTATGCTTCGGCAGTAGGAAGTCTCATGTATGCAATGCTATGCACAAGGCCGGATATTAGCTACGCCGTTGGCATGGTAGCTAGATATCAAAGTAATCCAGGACGGGAACATTGGTCTGCGGTGAAGCATATACTCAAGTACCTGAGAAGGACTAAGGAGTACATGTTAGTTTACCGTGCAAGCAGCTTGTTACCTCTGGGTTACAGTGATTCCGATTTCCAGTCAGATAAGGATGAAAGTAAGTCAACCTCAAGTTATGTGTTTACCTTGGGAAGTGGAGCCATTTCATGGAGGAGTGCTAAGCAGAAATGCGTGGCAGACTCCACCATGGAAGCCGAGTACATAGCAACCTCAGAGGCAGCGAAAGAGGCAGTATGGCTCAGGAACTTCTTAGTGGACTTAGAGGTTATACCGAATTTGCCACGTGGTATCACCGTGTACTGTGATAATAGTGGAGCAGTAGCGAACTCAAAAGAACCTCAAGCCCACAGCGCAAGCAAACACATAGAGCGCAAATACCATCTGATTCGAGATATCGTTGGTAGAGGAGACGTTGATGTTGCCAAGATTGCGTCAGAAGACAACCTAGCTGATCCTTTCACAAAGAGTTTGCCGGGGAAGGTCTTCGTCAAACACGTGGAAGGAATGAGAGTCGTGAGCATGGCAATAGGATCGACATAGGTCTTTTAGAATAACGGATTGAAAGGACTATACTGTAAAAGTGAAAGCTTTAAGTATAAGTGGGAGATTGTTAGTGTTATATACTGAAAGCTTGCCTTTGCATGTTATTACACATTTACCCTTTATGAATGAGAATCATGTTAGATTAAACAAGTTCTACGTTCTGTTGTTCTGCACTTGGATAGGGTGGGTCGTCATCGGGCGAACTGAAGATCACTCTATTAGTTACTTGCGAACAAGAATAGTTGTTTACAACCTAGATGGACATGAACACCCCATCCGCACAGTTGTAGTGTCAACTGTACAGTTTGTCTTGACTGATTAGTTGCACTAGTACATTTATGTATTGAACAGGATCCCAGAGAGGAGAAGTTCATTTTATACTGATCGTCGTAAATGAACTAGGCATCGGTTAATTACTGCGTTCTCTTAACCCGTAAGATATTAAACAGACAGATATATATAATATATATTACTTTGATTCACATGGGTGAGGTTCAGTTTGCTGGATTAATATTCCTACTGTTTTGGGTAATATTATTATATATAGGATGTGCTGTTAGGATATTTACGGTCACCATGTGCGTCAGTTTGATGATGTCCCTGGAGTGAGTTCATGAAGGATTGTTATGCTGGATTAAGTTCCGGCATAATAAGAATGTGATGAACGAGCGCTAGCTTCGGTGAAATAATAATAAATTAATTAATTCTTAATTGTCAGTAATCGAATTAATTAATGGACATTATATCTTAAACGTGGGGAGGTAAATCGAGTAATTATTATTGGAGTCTCAAATGTAATTTGGGCTAGGAAGAGGGAGTGCAATAATATAATGTTGGTGGCCCATTAATATTATTTAATTAATTAGAGGAGTTGGCTTGGCCCACAGTTAGTCTAATTAATTAAGGAGCCCTTTTCCTAATCTCCTTAGGGTCCCTACTGTAGCTCTATATATACATCATTAAGCTCATGAGAAGAGAATTCCAATCCTATTTATACGTGAATAACGCCCCACGCCTCTCTCTCTCTAGATCTCATTCGAGCTTTATCTTCTTCTTGTTGCTCCACTGGTACAAGTTGAAGAAGAGTGTATTGAGTAATACAGTAGAAGATCTGTAGGTAAACTGAGATGAAATATATTTTGACCTACAGAACTAAGCAGAAGTCCGATTGAGACGTACAGTATATCCAGACGACCGTCTCGACGAGAGCTTTCCATCGCCGCCGATGTCGTTGGATTCCGACGCTGCACGCGCGCTCACGCGCCGCTGGAAGGAGCCTGACTGCAAAAATTCGTTTTGATCTGTTTGCATCCGTTTGATCCGATTTTGATCTGATCTTGTTCGTGCAACCCAAGACGTGATTTGCGGTCAATCAATTGCGGTCAACCGTTTGTGGTCAACCAGATCTACATAAATTTTAAGCTGTAAGTTCTCTACGTCAAACCTTTAGATCCGTTGCGCATAGGTTTACGTTTGCTATTGAATTCGTGATTTGTACATAACGAGATCCTCACAGATCCCAACAAGTGGTATCAGAGAACTTGGTCAACCGTTCGTGGTCAACCAGATCTACATAAATTTTAAGCCGTAAGTTCTCTACATCAAATCTTTAGATCCGCTGCGCATAGGTTTACGTTTGCTATTGAATTCGTGATTTGTACATAACGAGATCTTCACAGATCCCAACAAGAACATCCTGTTATATCGTCTGCGTCGGCGTTGACAATGAAGGTCCACTCAAAGATGCGCCTACGCTTTTGTGGTCGATCACAGGTACCACCACAATGAGCACTCGACATTTTATATCTTGAAGAATATAATTTATATAATATATAAGAGAGGTGAAAATGACAAAAATTAGAAATGAGAGACTACTATGTAGAGAATTTATAGAACTGAAACTGTAATGAGAGTGAATTTTAAGAACAAAACATAATTTATATAGAACTGGACCAATTTTATAGAGAATTGAGCACAAAAACTAAAAAATATCACTTGAAGATATTAGAATCGAGAGGAAGAAAGTGAGAGATTGTTGAATATGTTGTGAAATATCATATGTATTTATAGATTTTTATCGGATTTTGCCATTTATTAAAATTTTTAAATCGCCGGTTCCAGGTTGACCAAACGGTTCATACGGTTCAAACTAGTCAAGGCCGTTGGATCTCCAACGATCAGATTAAAAAATTTGACCGTTGGTGATTTTGGGCGGGCCGGATCAGACCCAGAACTGTATATAAGAAAAAATGGTCGTTGGATCTTCAACTGTAAAAAAATTCAACGGTCCAGATTTAATCTGATCGGCGGGTCGTTAACAGTTCCGACTTAGCCAGACCTGAAAAATAATAAAAAAAAAAATTGCAAAAAAAATATAATAATTGTTAGGCCTATTGGTCTGGATCCGGGCCGACCCTGAACCAAAACCGACGATTCACAAATTTATTAATTTGTGAACCTAAATAGACATGGCTAAACCACAGACCTAATTTCGATTCCTTGGTCAACATAAATTTGTGAACCTAAATAGGCATGGCTAAACCACGGGTCCAATTTCGATTCCTCGGTCAACAGGCTTGAACGAGCTGATTCCAGGCTGGGCTCGGTCTGGTTCGACCCGTGACCATGTCTATATGCCTAGCTATAGTGTGGATAATAAATTTGTGAACCTGAATAGGCCTGGCTAAGCCGCCGGCCCAGTTTCGGTCCCTCGGTCAACAGACTCGATCGGGCCAGTTCTGAACGGGTTTGGGCTGGTTCGGCCAGTGGCCATATCTACATGCCTTGCTACGGTGTCGGTCGAGTGTCGTTTCACCAAAAGCCCATATAAACAGAGGGAGATGCTATAGTCCCGTTAGGAACCATTCCGTCGGGATTTGTAACCGTTAAATCATCATGTAATCGTTAGAGATAGTTGATCTAACGGCTACATACCTCGACGGAATGGTTCCGTAACGAGACCGCACCATTTCCCATAAACAGAAGCGCTCTAGTACGTGTCTGGTTTCTATTGGCTGGTGTGATCCATATAATCAGAAACTCCGGTCGGTCTTCTCATCACAAGTTCACAACACAACGCTAAAAAAGAAAGAGCTTCCGGTCTTGTCATCGGATCCCCGTTTTCGAACAAAAAATTAGGGCCTCGGAAGAATCATGAAAAAATCAATAGGGTCTCGGAAGAATCATGAAAAAATCAAGGTGGTTAGTGGTTATAGTTGTCTTGCTCGTCCTCTTCTGCGGTGTTGTATTCTCTGATCAGATCATTCCAGCTCATACAGGTATCTACTCGGCAAATTTCTAATTGCGATGAATTTCGCTCGCTCGAGCCATTTTTCCGCTTGTTGAGACAGAATCTTTTTGAAATGATTGAAATGACAGAATGACTGATTGCATCCGTGCTTTATTATTTTGGTGCTACCCCTATATCAGCGAAATTGTTGTCTTTTGAAATGAATGGCAGTGACTTATGTGTGTTTTTGGGGATACTAAATCAGCTTGTGAGAAGAAAAGAGACTTTTTGTTATGGAATTCGTAATGGCATACATTCGATGGGGATGTGGTTAGCTTTCAACTACCAACCAGTGTGTTGTACACCAAACAAATAGCAAAGCTGCATGCTTATTCTTTTAGATCACACGAAAAGCATTAGTTGGTTGATTGAAATGGCAGGATGTTGTGGTGTGAAAATGGATCACCAATTTCTTCTTATTTATGCAAAGGATAACTTAGGCTTCTTGTTTGTACAAAGGATAACTTAAGCTTCTTGTTTGTGCAAAGGATAACTTAAGTTTCATGTTTGTGCAAAGGATATCTTAGGAAGGGAGCAAAGGGAAATACCAAGAATTGTTCTCAAGCATTCCTAAGATGTTAGCCTAAGTATTAGCTATATATACCTTACATAGTCTTGTTTGTAAGTGTGTGAAATACAAAGGAAATATCTAAGTTCTTTGTGTAGTCAAGAGAAAAAGAAAGAGTTGAGTCGAGAGAGAAAGAGTGTTGTCTTGTTGTAAAGACGTTACATACAGGTGTGTGTGTGTGTTGTACTCTTCATTTTTCCTCCTCTTTGAGTGTTTTCTCCTGGCTTGGTATCGCCCCCAGACGTAGGATTTATATCCGAACTGGGTTAACAAACTCGTGTGTTCTTTTTCGTTTTTCATAATTTTGTGTTCTTATCCATCTTGCTCCAATTTATTTCCTAACAATTGGTATCAGAGCGCCAGGGTTGGAGATAAGATGGAGGGAAAGATTCCAGTCGAACGGTTCAATGGTTCCGACTTTGGATTCTGGCGAATGCAAATGGAAGCTTATCTGTCCGGAAAGGACCTTTACGCGCCTCTTGGGGAAAAGCCCGAGAAGATGAGCGATGATGAATGGAAGGTGCTCGATCGAAACGTCGCCTACCATGTGAAAGGGGAAAAGAGCACGAAGGAGGTCTTGCAGACACTCGCTGATATGTACGAGAAACCATCAGCAATAAACAAGGTGATGCTGATGAAAAAGTTGTTCAAATTGCAAATGAAGGAGAGAAAGTCGGTGGCCGATCATCTCAACGATTTCAACCAACTCACGATGCAGTTGGCATCGGTGGATATTTCGTTTGATGATGAGGTAAAAGCCCTAATCTTACTCTCATCATTGCCGGACAGTTGGGATGTGGTTGTTACGTCGGTGAGCACTTCTTCTGGGAAGGAGAAGATGAAGTTCGATAACATAAGAGACATGATGTTGAACGAGGAGACCCGCAGAAATCAGACGGGTGGGTCGTCTGGCTCAGCCCTACATACAGAGTCCAGAGGGAGACCTGACATACGAGGGAAAACCCGTGGGAGGTCAAAATCCAGGGGAAGGAATAAAGGCAAGAAAGAAATGGTGTGTTGGAACTGCGAGAAGCCTGGGCATATGAAAAGCGAATGCCGGGCACTAAGAAAGGACAAAGAGGGCCGAACAGCCAATGTTGCGACGAAGGACATGGCGGATGCACTCTTGTTGAGTGTGAGAAGCTCGCTCGATGATTGGATCGTGGACTCAGGGGCCTCATTTCACTCTTGCAGTAGCAGAGACATCATGGAGCCATACATCGCAGGTGATTTTGGTGTAGTATATCTTGCAGACAACAAACCCCTAAAAATCGTAGGGAAAGGAGATGTGCAGATCAAGTCCGCTAATGGGTCATGCTGGACCCTACGGGATGTGAGGCACATTTCAGGACTGAAGAGGAATCTCATCTCAGTTGGACAACTGGACAATGACGGTTTCCACACAATGTTTGGAAACGGAAAGTGGAAGGTCAGTCGAGGAGCTATGACTTTGGCAAGAGGGCTGAAGTCAGGAACGCTTTACATGGCGGGTGGATCTAGCTCAAACATTTCTTTGGCAGAAGCTGTCTCACAATCGCACTTGTGGCACAGTCGCTTGGGCCACATGAGCGAGAAAGGAATGAAGGTACTGAAGTCGAGAGGACTTCTACCAGAGCTGGAGTCAGTGGACGTAGGTCTCTGCGAGCATTGTGTGCTTAGAAAGTAGAAGCGAGTAAGCTTCATGACCACCGGGAGAGCTCCAAAGACAGAAAAATTAGAGCTCGTGCACACTGACTTATGGGGGCCAGCACCGGTGACATCTCTTGGAGGATCGATGTACTACATGACGTTCGTCGATGACTGCACAAGAAAGGTATGGGTGTATTTCTTGAAAAGAAAATTCGATGCCTTTGATACTTTCAGGAGATGGAGAGCACTCGTGGAGAAAGAGACAGGTCTAGAAGTGAAATGTCTCAGATCCGACAACAGTGACGAGTATAGCAGTGAAGCCATCAAGGAATACTGCGCCGATCGTGGGATCCGAACGCAGAAGACGGTCCCAGGGACACCTCAGCAAAATGGCATTGCTGAGAGGATGAACAGGACTCTGAATGAGCGTGCAAGATGCATGCGATTGAAGAGCAGACTGCCCAAGATGTTTTGGGCAGAAGCAGTCAGCACGGCTGCTTTCTTGATCAACCGGGGGCCTTCTGTCCCTCTGAACAACAAAATTCCAGAAGAGGTCTGGAGTGGTAAGGAAGTTGATCTCTCTTTCCTACGTACCTTTGGGTGTTAGGCTTATATTTTGAACGACGACCGGACAAAGCTGGATGCTAAGTCGGTCAAATGTACATTCATTGGATATGAGACTGACGAATTTGGGTATAGATTCTGGGATGATCAAAACCGGAAAATTATTCTCAGTCGTAATGTGGTGTTCAATGAGGGCATAATGTACAAGGACAGGAAGGAATACCCGAACGATGACAAGACCAGGCAGGAGTATGTTGGTCTCGATATTTCAAATACCAGAATCATGAGATCAGCAGATTCAGTGGGAGCTCAGACAGATGAGATCGAGCGTACAGAAGAAGAGACAGAACCAGAATCGGAGGAACCGTTTGCTGAGAGCAGCACACCCTTGACACTGGGCCGAGAACCGAGGATGAGAAGGGCCCCAGATAGGTACTCCCCTTCTCTTTATTACCTACTTTTATCTAATTGTGGGGAACCCGAATGTTATGCAGAGGCAGTTAAAGATGCCCACAAGAGCAAGTGGGAGCTTGCGATGGACGACGAGATGAACTCGTTGAAGAAGAACCACACATGGGATTTGTGTGATCTCCCTCAAGGAAAGAAGGCTCTTCAGAACAGATGGGTCTATCGGGTCAAGGAGGAATCAGATGGGACGAAGCGGTACAAGGCCAGACTTGTAGTAAAGGGATTCCAACAGAGATACGGTATTGACTTTACCGATGTTTTTACACCTGTTGTTAAGTTGACTACTATTCGTCTAGTGTTGAGCATGGTAGCAATAGAGAACCTGGAGTTACAACAGATGGATGTAAAGACAGCCTTCCTTCACGGAGATCTAGAGGAAGAGATTTACATGGTGCAACCAGAGGGATATACTAAGAATGATCAGCAGGTCTGTCGCCTCAAGAAAAGCTTGTACGGATTGAAACAAGCTCCACGACAGTGGTACAAAAAGTTTTACAACTTCATGCTGGAGATTGATTTATCTAGATGCAATGCTGATCATTGTTGTTACGTAAAAAGGTTCGATGACTCCTTTATTATACTACTTTTGTATGTTGATGACATGTTGATCACAGGATCAAATGTCAAAGAAATAGACAGGCTTAAGGATCAGTTGTCAAAGAGGTTTGACATGAAGGATCTTGGTGAAGCAAGACAAATTCTGGGTATGAAAATCACAAGGGACAAAGTTGCTGGTAAGTTATGGCTATCTCAATCAGATTATATTGAGAAGGTGTTGTGCAGATTCAAGATGGAAAATGCAAAACCGGTTGGAATGCCATTGGGAAACCAGTTCAAACTATCCAACAGTGATTCGCCGCAGAGTGACTCCGAACGTGAAAAAATGAGAGTTACACCGTACGCTTCAGCCATTGGGAGCCTGATGTATGCTATGATCTGTACTCGACCAGATATAGCACATGCGGTAGGAGTGGTAAGCCGTTTTATGAGCGATCCAGGAATGATGCACTGGGAAGCTGTGAAGTGGATTCTTAGATACCTTAGGGGCACTAAGATCGAGCATTGGTGTTTGGTAAGGGCAAGCTTACCTTGTTTGGGTTTGTTGACACTGACTTTGCAGGGAGTGACTACGACAGAAGAAGGAGCACTACAGGGTACGTGTTCACGTATGGCGGCACAGCTGTATCTTGGGTCTCAAAGTTGCAGAAAATAGTTACACTGTCAACGACGGAAGCTGAGTACGTGGCAGTTACTGAGGCAGCCAAGGAGCTCATTTGGCTGCAAAACTTCTTGGATGGATTAGGGAAACCTCAGACAGACGTGGTTCTTCATAGCGATAGCCAGAGTGCAATCCATTTGGCAAAGAATCCTGCGTTCCATTCACGGACAAAACACATTTAGATTAAGTACCATTTCATCCGGCAACTTTTGGAGAAGAAGGCACTGCAGCTGAAGAAAATTCAATGAGAAAAGAACCCTGCGGACATGTTGACCAAGGCAGTTACGATGAAGAAGTTGAAGCTATGCTCGACTTCAACTGGCCTTGATGATTAAGAGCGAACAAACCCGGCGGTACTAAGAAGGAAGGAGAGAAATGCTGATCGATCTTCAAGTGGGAGATTGTTGTGGTGTGAAAATGGATCACCAATTTCTTCTTGTTTATGCAAAGGATAACTTAGGCTTCTTGTTTGTACAAAGGATAACTTAGGCTTCTTGTTTGTGCAAAGGATAACTTAAATTTCATGTTTGTGCAAAGGATATCTTAGGAAGGGAGCAAAGGGAAATACCAAGAATTGTTCTCAAGCATTCCTAAGATGTTAGCCTAAGTATTAGCTATATATACCTTACATAGTCTTGTTTGTAAGTGTGTGAAATACAAAGGAAATATCTAAGTTCTTTGTGTAGTCAAGAGAAAAAGAAAGAGTTGAGTCGAGAGAGAAAGAGTGTTGTCTTGTTGTAAAGACGTTACATACAGGTGTGTGTGTGTTGTACTCTTCATTTTTCCTCCTCTTTGAGTGTTTTCTCCTGTCTTGGTATCACCCCCAGACGTATGATTTATATCCGAACTGGGTTAACAAACTCGTGTGTTCTTTTTCGTTTTTCATAGTTTTGTGTTCTTATCCATCTTGCTCCAATTTATTTCCTAACACAGGATTCTGTTAGATGACTGATGATTCTATATGACAAGAAATATAAGGATTATCTATCTCTATCCCTTGTATGTAATGGATCTCGTACGAATGCTTGGAGTGATTTGGTGTGTGCTTATGACAAATGAAGTGTACTGTTTAGTTTTCGGTCTTAGTCTAGTCTGTATGTATGAGAGTGTTATTCTAGATTTACCTATGTTTACTACTTGTTGAATGTGGGGTCTCAGCCCGACTGCCAAAGATAAATAAATATTAAACACCCTTCTTTATGACTCACAGCTGCTAATTTCTTCTCGGATATTATCTTTATTTTAGGTGGTACCTTTGGTCAGAGCTCCCGAGAACCAAAATTCAGAATTGAGTTTCATTCAGAAGACTAGTGTCCTTAACAATGTTGTATCATCATATGTTTTAATTGTTTACAATTTTGTGAATCTGTCTAGTAGCACTCTGGCATTACAAAAGATACTTGAGTAGCAAAAGAAGTTGGATGTTTTAAAAAGCTGTTCACAATGTCTTTTGAAACTCATGTCTGATTGCCAGCTCTATTATATACGTCAATTTCATGTATTTAACATAGAGATATTTTCCTGGTCTTAGCAATATCGCATTAAAAAATGTTCTCATCATCAGTTCAAATTAGAACGAATTGTGTGATACTTAATTTATAAAAGTTCAAAGCTTTTCCTCATTGCATTTTCCAAAACTTATATGGGTAACGGTTAATGTCTTCTCAATGATTGAGAATATTGATTCTTCAGTATTATTTGAGGGGATGTAGTGGCTTCCGCCTAATGACTCCTAACATTATCCATGACATTATTTTGAGATACTAGATCAGCAAACTAAGGGAAATTTCCAGTTATGTCCAGCCAGAAATTCATTATTCAAATAAAAGCCGCTAACTTTTTGAATTTCAGTAAAGAGATACACATTTTTCCGATGGTTCCATTGATTTTGTTTACAACTGTCAGATTAGTACATTATGCCTTTACAACTATCTTGTTAACCTTTTCCTTTTATGCAGTCAATATCTTCTAAGAAGAAACTGGATATTACTTAGAGTGGATGATTCTATATTATAATCCATATTAATGGATACAAAAGTATTTATTGTTATTCAACACTAAAAAAACTCAGTCTGGAAAATGAGCAGCAGTTTTTTATGGGGATGAGGCATAGTTGTAATGACTCACAATATTAATGCATATTATAATGTTAGCAAAATAGCTTAATACGTTATGATGCGTAACTCAAGTGATAATTCCATTTCCAGTCACGAAAACTCTTGAATCTTGATCAACTTCTTTCGCAAGAGAATTTTTGTATTCATACCTGCCAAAAGAAATAAATCAGAATAGCATGAATTTGTTTTTTTTCAAGTGATGACCAGCCTTATATCATAAAAGGCACTATATTATAAGTGAACTGTATCCTTATGTCTAGCTCGTTTTGTTATTTCATATCTTGGTAATTTCTAAAGTCGTCCCGACTATTTACTGCCATAGAGAATCCCGTTGCAGGATTCTCTAACCAGCCATGTAGACATTAATGGAACAAATGAGAAGGAATTTACATGATAAATATGTATTTATGTTTTCTCCAGTTAGTGTACATAAAAAATTTGGAGAAAAAGATATGAAATAAAGAATTCTGTTAGAACCACAGAATAGTCAGCATCGGTAGAGTGATGGACATATCATGAGAAGAAACTAAAATTTACAAATAATAATAGAATGTTTGGTTTGCTTCTTTCCTGAACCAAAACGTAAACCATGTTTCCAAATGGTTTTTTCTACTTATATAGACGTTTTTTGATGCACCACTTTGGACACACACTACCAAAGAACCCCCAATCCTTAACTAAAACATTCTTTGGCTACTCAATTAACCTTGCCTTTCCAAGAGCACAAGATGCTAAAGCTATTGTTGGAATGAAGTCCTAAAGCTGGGATAGATCTCTGTCATATTTTCCCTGTCAGATATTTAGTCAGAATCTGCTTTGTTAGGCCTAATTTTTTTCCAATCAACCCTAGAAACTTTTGTTACTTGTATATCTGACTTTATCAATGGTTGATTTATTCATCCCTTGAACGAGGATTTTGTAGCTACCTGAGCCCTACCTTGAGGACCAAAAGTACGAATGGAATAAGGGCTCTATAAATGTGTTCATACCTCAATTAGAGTTGCATGCTCTTTGCTGTGTGTACTTGTTAGTGATTTGGTTAACCTCAATATAGTATTATGTTGGATGCTTTCACGAACAGGATGGCCGCGGCACCACCATCCCACAGGTCGACCTCCATCATCCGTCGTCGACTTCAATCTCTCCGTCGCCGTTCTGCTCGACACCGCCGACTGTCACTCCAAACGCCGCCGTCTGGTCCGGCGCCGGAGCTCTAGTCGCCGTCGTCCTCCCTCCGTCTGGAAGTGAGTGACGTCTCTGTCACTTTCTCCGCCACAGAGCTCCGCCGTCTGCAAGTGTAGAGGGTGAAGACACCTCCGGCCCGCCACCTTCACCATCATGGTCGTCATTCATTCCCGTCGCGACCGCCGATCGTCCGTCGTCTACCATCGGAGAAGAGGTCACCGGCAGCAAGTACAGGGGGCTGAGGTGGCGGGGATAACATGATTTGATATTTGAATTTGGGGGGTTTGTTTTTCAGAATTTGATATCTTATAGGGACTTGATTGCAATTTTCATAGATTTCAATAAATTGCAATTTAGTTCATGGGTTGAATTTGTAGTTTTTAGAAATTTGTAAATCTAATTGTAAATTTAATAAATTTATTTATATTTCAATTTAATACTTGTGTCAAATTTGTAATTTACAAAAAAGTATATAAAAGTATGATATTTTTATAAATCTTTTAAAATCATAACATAATAAAAAATACTAAATACAAATAAGATAAAATATTAATATAATATTGGATATGTTGCACATTATTGACTGACGGGTTGCACTTTATGATAGTGAAATTGCACCTTAGAATAACAAATGCACGACCATGTTAATTATATTAATAATATAAAATACTAAATATAAAAATTATAAATACTAAATATATTTTTATGATATAAAAAATTGATAAGTCTGAAAAATAATGATAATTGAAATACACATAATTGAAGTTTATAAATTTGAAACACATAAAAAATACTCGATCGGTTGATTTCACAATAATGTTAGACGAATTGCACTTTATAAATTTTGATATCTTTTATATTATATTTTCAACTATAAATATTATAAATTAATACATATTAATATTAAAATATAAAATGTATTCTAAATATACTTAGTAATATAAAAATATTTTGTAATAATAAATAAATTATAATAAAAATGATAAATAAAAAGCTATTTTAATTATTTAGGTTAATTCAATGTACAATTATCCACATAATTTATAAATTAGATAATGCACTTTATATTACGGAATATCGCACTTTACAAAACAATACGTTGCATTTTATCACATTATCTATCTAAAAAACACAAACATGCTAATCGTATAAAAAATAATACGTTGCACTTTATACAGTAATACGATGCACTTTATAATACAATATGTTGCACTGTATACAATAATACGTTGCAATATAACGATCGAAATAGTCAAAATTAAAATTCTCAATTAATTACAAATATTACCCATGAACTTAATTATAATAAACTAAAAATTTTTACAATTGCAGCTAGGCCCTTGTATGATATCAAATTTTCAATACAACAACCTCAATTACACCAACATTTTCCGGCCGCTGCCCTGGCCCCTGCCGTTCGAGCCGCCGCCGCCGGCAACTGAGAACCGCCCTGTCGCCGGATGACACGTCATCACTTTGCCGCTCCGGTAGTACAACAATGGAAGAATTGCAGAAGTCCCGTCGGCTACTTATCCTCGGCGGACGTTCTCGAATTGTGGCAACCTGACGGCGTCCGGTGGATCGACGGCGGACTTAGCTGCCTGATGCAACTGAACGTGGGAGACAGCGGATCTGTGTCGGGCTGTTGAGGACCGGCTGAGACGCCATCACCTGCGGATCTGTGAAATGCTGTTGGGGACCGGTCGTGGCGGAGACGACGTCTCCGGCGGATCTGTGCCGTGATGTTGGGGACCTGGCGGCGAGACGACGAGGGCCAGTGACGGCGGTGGAAATCCGGCGTGACTTTCCGACGAGAGGTTGCATTAGTAACAGAGAGATGGGGAACGATGTGGTTTTCTCCGGCGGAGGTCAGTGATGTCGAGAGGTTAATCGGTTGCGGTCGCGGCGGAAATTGTGGCGGCGAGCCGGCGGTCCGGCGACTGAGTGTGTGCGTGTGTGTGTGTGTTTGGGGAAGATGATGAGGGAGGGGGTAGGTCACGGTAGGTGGGATGACATGATTTATGTGGTGTTATTAATTTGTGTAGTGGTAGGTCCCACTAGTTAGTTGTTTTGAATTTAATGTCCATACTACCCTTAATTATTGGTCAAATACATATATTTGGCCACAATATGATCCAATAATTACCAGATTGACATTAATGATTGACCAAGTTTGACTTCATCATAACCATTGATATGCTTGATCCCATGGTCCAAACTTATTCTCATTTCTCGCATTAAGAATCATTCTCATATATATATATATATAAATGCCTGTAATATGATTCAAAAACTAACCTTTTGCTGATCACTAATAAATGTCCATCCAAGTCCATCTGTTATCCCCAAATCTTGAAAAGGAATATCTAGAAACCATTTCCAATTGCTCTCATTCTCAGAATCCACAACTGCCCATGCCAAGGAAAATATCTGGTTGTTCCCATCCTTCCCAAAAAAAACACACAATAAAACACCTCCTAAAAAGGTCTTCAAGAAACACCCATCAAAACCAATAATTGGCCTACAGCCTTGCAAGAAACCTTGTCTGAGTGCACTAAAACCAACATAAAAACCTTTGAATACACTGTCACTCTCTAAGACAAGCTGAAATGTGCCATTTCTATCAACCCTTTGAAGCTCTCAACGTACCTCCTAAGTTTTCCATAGTGCTCCTCCTCTGTACCTCTAAGCAGTTCAAGAGCCCTAGTTTTTGCTTTGTACAGTTTCCACCTAGAGGGTTGCACACCATATTTTTCACTGGTAGAATCCTCCAAGTCAGAAATTTTCATCTTAGGCTTCTTCCTAATAATAGGTAGATACTCCCATGCAACCCATGAAGCAGTTGCTTGTTTAGTGTTCAAGTCCCTATGGCAGCTGTGGCTACTAACAAAGGTCTTGATAGCCACACTACCTTCACCTTTTATCAGACTAGCATAAAGCCTCCATGGACAACCCACTTCACACCTAGCTTCAACCTGACTTGAACTACTTCTGAAGAAACTTATGTTGCAGCCATTATAGATTGCATAACTCTGAATTGCCTTCTTGCATCGCCCAATGCTTTCAAACCTCATCCCAAGCTGAAATTGAAATGCCTGCAGATCTCCCTTACCATCATAAACTATTTTCTTTTTCTTAGGCCTTGCTTCATCATCATCATCATCACCAAAACCCTCACCACTAGATGAATCAGTGTTGGCATTCCCTTCAGAATCTTCATATTCTGACTCAATATCTCTTGCAGGTATAATGTTGTCATCAGCCTCATGATGTGCAGATGGTTGTGCAAAGGAAATGTTTGCATCTCCATCATCTTGCGACTTTCTGGAGTTCAAGACTTCTCTCTTGGCTTGAAGATACTCCTCATTATCTGTCCCTAAATCTTCCTCAGACAAACTATCATCACTTGAAGATTCTCCAGATGGTTCATAGTCCTCATCCTCACTTTCATCTAAAGCAAACTCAACCAGCTTGTCCCTAGTATCCTTTGCTTGATCTACCTCAGCAACTTTAGATACCCTATTCCTAGATTTATTTTCTTGTTGACACACAGCAACCCCAGACGGTTTCTTTTCTTGTTCAGTTTGCACATATATTTCAACATATCTTTTGTTTCCCTGCATTTGACCCAAACAGTCCATAACACCAGCATCATCTGTTATATCTTTAAATTCACGTGTTCTTCGATGCTTATAACATATTCTACCCCAGTTTTCATATCCCAACTTCTCTATTTCATCTTCAATGTCAAAATAACCTAGCCTATCTGCATCCAACCCAGTAACCGTGGCAACACAATCACCATAATATGCCTCATACCTATCGACAGTGACAAATCTCCCCTTGTGATTGATAAATAATAGAAAGAAATCACTGTAAATCGAAAAAATAGGAAAAGATTAACAAATCGAACCCTAAAAAATATAAAATCAAATTAAACATTTCAGGTGAGAAAGGGCAGTTACCTTGCAACCATGATGTCAACAAGTTCTTGTGTATGCACACGATAATCTTCACGAATATATGGAAGACACACCCTCTGAATTTCAGAGCAAATCGATGACTTAGGGTTTTGAACATGTAAAATCGAGAAAATCGATTTTGTAAATGAAGATTTGGGAAAAAATTGGGGCGGATTCGGCTTTTATAGTCCCCGAACTTGCCACCTGGGCGCTGACTCGGATGTCCGTTTGGTGTGTCCGTCAGTTTTAAAAGCCACGTAGGATTCCCGTTAACGACAGTTAAAACCATGTATCGGGTTTGCCAAGAATGTAAAAGTCATGTATTTATTTGGCAAAGTCTAAAGGTGGTGATTAAATGGCCAAACACGTAAAGGCCGTGTATTTTCCAGTCATTAAGCCAAAACAAAACAGTATTTGTCACTATTGCTGTTGACCGCATTATGTACAAATTCTACATGTAGCATCTTTTTCTGATTGATTCATGCTAAAATGTTATTTCTATCCTGATTGATTCATACTATAATACATTTTTCTACTCTGATGAGGCCTGTATGCTTTAAGTTAAATTCATCCTTGTTGATTACCAAGATTGAAGCTTTGACGAGACTAATCAATTTGTATATTTGTCACGGATGAGCTGTTGTACTTTGGTTGTTTGTTGAAGTTTTGTGTACGTAATAGTACTATTCGTTTCTATAACAAAAGTACAATACTATATTACTGCAATACAGCAAGGATTAATATACATGCTATTATAAAAATCCAACGCTTATATAGACATCCGTAATTACACTTACCCTTTTTTCCACATTTATTTACTGTATTTGGAAAATATTGTTATACCTTTTAATGAAACTATTTAAGTGGAAATTGTTTCAACATCTTATATATTCATATATTCCACATTTGTACTAAAATAATTTTTAAAAAAATAAATCGGAAAATCTGGAAATTTGTTCAGAAAGGCCTGAAGTTTCTTAAAACTTCCTTAAAATGAATACATTTTCTAAATCGTTACCGCTGTTGTATCACTCTGATGCAATTGTTGGGTTCGCTATACTGTACGGATTAAAATTGCAGCGGAAATTATACAATATAATTATCATTTATCAAATAAATACTTAATCCGTAAGTACATATAGCGAATAAAATGATCGGCATCTTTTAAAATCACGTAAAAATACAAATTTTGATTTGTAGAGAATTTCGAAAATTACCTTTTATTTTCTTTAAATAGCGACGATGAAGAGGAAATCAATTCTCGGTTATGTGGCTATCACCGTCTTATTACTCTGTAAGGGATCCAAGTGTCTCCCCTCTAACCGAGTTCACCCATTTGGATCCCGACTCCGAGAATAATTTCTTCGCTAGTAGAAATTTTCCGGTACTCAATTGATGTAAGAATAAAAATTAGAGAAGATTTTTTTTTTTTTTTTTTTTTGTTTTGAAAAAGCCAAAAACAACTATTGCCCTCTTTCTTCAAAATTGAGAGAACTTGTTTTTCATTCTCGTGAATGAACTTGGGTGGTGTTATTTTTTGGTACATCTCATATGTACATATATATTATATATATACTAAAACATTATGCATATAAAATGTAGTATGGGTTGGAATATTCCACCCAATTTGTTTTTCAATATATATATGTCTTTATTAGGTATAACATCCACCAAGTTTTATTAAATGACATGTTCAAATACATGTGCATTAGTTGACCAACAATTGACAAATATTCTTATTATTTATTTTAGTCTTTAATCTTAATTAAAGATTAATAAAAGATAATGACATATAATTTATGAAACTAACTTTCAAAATTAATTTGACAAAATCTTATCTCCCATAAAAATAAAATCTTCTCTTTTATGTAGGCTTTTAATATATAATCATATTAGTATTTGGATTTGAAATTTTAAAGTCCAACTTTAAAATTTAACTATTAATTTAGTAATTCCAATAATTACTTAATTAATATCCAAAGCCTAATTAATCAATCCAATTGATTAATTTATTTTATTCTTTTAATTGACGTATAATAAAAATGATATTTAATTAAATAATCAAATTATTTAATTAAGTCTTGTCAATTAATCCAACTATTGGAAATACCAATTCCAAAATTGTCATCATCCAAAATTTGGTGTGACCCTTTTAGGTTCACGATTAACACTAGTAGTGGGTTTACAACTCATTTGTAATTAATATAATTAATTTATATTCTTGAAATTAACTCCTTAATTTCAAGAACCCACAAATCATGGGAACACCTAGCAAGTAGCATGATTATCTAGTGTTAAGTGAAATAGCGAGTAAACCTTTTCAATTGCAAGTGCATACATGTAAAATCCTTTCGACAATTAATTTTCCGATTAAATCTTGGGCATGGATTTATTATTCGAAACCCAATTGATTTAATAACTATGATTCCATTTCAAGTTTAGTGATTCCTTTATGAATTCATATTCATCTCGCCTTGGCCAAGGTCTTTGAATGACAAACTATGAAAAACATAGGAAATTCACTTATCCACATAAGTGTCGAATTCTTTGTTGGCCACAGATAAATCTCCATGCATATTAATACAATACCCAAAATATCCCTCTTATGATTGTTCAGCAATCAAAGGATAAATCAAAGTAAAGCACAACATGCACAAGATTACTATCGTGCCTCAAGTCAGAGGATCAGTCATGTACTATTGCAACATGAAAATTCTTCTTCTACAGTTAAAAACTTCCAGTTAAGAATTTTCATCGGGTCATGTTCAGTGAACTTGTTCTCCAACAAGCACCCACATATATGCATTCGCGTCCACACGCTATTGTTGATGGAATGCAACATTCTCATCGGATGAGCATACATCATATGCACAAGTCTTACCGGGTTATTCGATGTCCTGTCTCGAAATACCCATTGACTTGGAACTTATTTAAAATCACAGCTTTAAAGACATGTTCCATGATTGCCATCAAATGTGCAACCATGCCTCATAGCTAATAATGATCTAAGGACTTTATCATATGAGCAAATATAGAATAAATACAAAACATAAGATAAAGCTATGCCTAAAAATAATATAATTTCCAATAAATTGTCTCTAAAAGTAGAAATATATCCAATCAGATTGGAACGCCGTGTATTCTACTCTAACAATCTCCCACTTGCCCTAGTTCCAATCACTCATGTATTTCAGGCCCATCTTCTCAAGATGTCCTTCAAACACTTTTTGTGATAATGGCTTAGTCAGGGAATCTACTATATTTTCTGTTTAATCGACTCAATCCATAATGACGTCGCCTCTACCAATGATCTCTCTAATCATGTGGTATCGCATTATAATTTGTTTGGATCTTTGATGAGATCTTAGTGTTATCGCTTCCGCTATAGCCCCATTGTTGTCACAATAAATCATTTTGGATCAACAATAGACGAGACTACACCCAACTCTTGAATGAAGTTTCTTATCCAAACAACCTCATTTTGTAGCATCTAATGCTGTAATGTATTCAGCCTCGGTAGTAGAGTCAGTAGTCGTTTATTGTTTGGAACTTTTCCAACTAACTACTACTTCATTCAAGGTAAATATGTATTCGGACATTGATTTTGAGTCGTCCTTATTGAACTTAAAACTAGAATCAGTAAAGCCTTCTAGTTTTAGTTTTTCATTGCCATATATCAAAAAGATATCCTTAGTCCTTCTCAAGTACTTAAGGATCATCTTAACGACCTTCCAGTATTCCTTCCTTGGATTTAACTGATATCTGCTCATGACACTAAGTGCATGAGCTACATCAGACCTAGTACATAACATTGCATACATAATGCTACCAATAGCTGATGCATAAGGTATGCGAGTCATCCTTTCTCTTTCTTCAGACGTCTTTAGAGACATAGTCTTAGAAAGTAAAACACCATGACTCATAGGAAGGTATCCATGTTTGGATTTCTCCATGCTGAACCGCTTTAGCACCTTATTTATGTACATCGACTGGGATAGTCCGATCATCTTTCTATATCTATCTCTATAGATATTTATCCTTAGGATAAAAGATGTTTCTCCCAAGTCTTTCATGAAAAACTGTTTAGACAACCAAGTCCTTGTTGACTGCAACATTCCTACATCATTCCTAATGAGTAGAATGTCATCAACATAGAGCATAATAAATGCTACTGCATTTCCACTAACTATCTTATAAACACATGAATCATTCGGATTTTTGTGAAAATCAAACATTTTGATAATTTCATCAAACCGGATGTTCCAACTCCTTGAAGCTTGTTTAAGTCCATAAATAGACTTTTGGAGTTTGCAAACTATTTGCTCGCTCCCACTGGATATGAAACCCCATGGTTATTTCATATAAATATCCTCTTTAATGTTTCCATTAAGAAAAACAGTTTTCACATCCATTTGTCTGTTGTGACCCGAGATAGTTTGTAAATTTTTGTAATGAATTTCTAATTTTTTGCATTTTTTGCAATAAAGAGATGAAGGAAGATGTTGAAGATGAATAAGAGAGAGAGAGTAGAAAGATCGAGAGAGAGTAGAGAGGGATACGAGAGATTGGGGAGAGAGAGGGAGAGTAAATTTGTTGCAACTGATTGATTCCCAAATACATGCCCTCACACTCTTATATATACTAGTCTCATTTTCTAAGGAATTACATTAACTAAAATAACATAAAATAAATAGATAGGGGGCTCTTAATAATTAAACCCGGATTGGGCCTTCTCTGGCCCGTCATCCATACGTCCACCCCTCGGTCCAAGTCTATAATCAAGTACATGACAGCCCACTTATCGACCCAACTCCATAATCGGGTACATGACAATACTCCCTTCTCGAAAGAGTCTCGTCCCCGAGACTCATACGTTGAAAATGTAAGCATTGCATCCAAGAAGATCGGTATCCGTATAGCTTGAGAAGAATTTGTACTATCAAATTGCCCACTCAAATGATTAAAGCTCAAAACCCATTGTGATTGGGCCCGGTCCAAATGCCCACTATTGAACCGCCACCAAATAACCCAGACATGTGTTGATTTTTGCCCATAAACTATCTCAACACACAGTCTCTGTCTTCCAGAATCATCCCCGGCC